TTCTGGCCCAAAGCTATAAGATCATGGTCCCCCCTATTCAATAAACCCTCTAGGTCAAACAGAATCCACTGTGTGTTCTAGAATCTGCAGACTCCCTCAGTTCAAGCTCACTGCAATCCTCCCATGAGGAATACCAGTGAGTTGTGAGCATCACTAAGCTTTGTGTCTTTGTGACTACAAGCATTTTTGGCTTTGCTTGTACCCTACTCTACTGCTCCCCGGTCATGGCTGGGTGCCATCCTACGGTCCTTTCCAGGACTACTGCCACCCTGAGAGCTGTTACCCAGTCATGGTTGCAGTTGTTTCATCCCTCCCAGGGCATGGTAACTGGCCCATATATTCCCAGTCCATTTCTGGGTGCTCAGGAATGGAGTGATCTCATTTCCAGCCTGGTACCTGGTTTAATGTGACCAGAGCTGAGAGTCCTTCCTGGGATTCCTGACCATAACCAGTGTCCCTGCTCCACTGCTTGGTCACTCCATTGTTCAGGAACTCCCATTCTTTCTCTGTCTCTTGGGATCCTGAGACCACAATGACCCACCTAGAATTCTATCTTCTTAATCCCCTGCAACCTTTTCAGAAAAGGATGTCTCTCACTAGAACAGTTTTATACATGTTCTGATTTTGTGCTCTGGTGTTATATCAGTTTCCAATAGCCAGCTTACAGAGGCCCCCCCATTTATTTTCTCATATTTCCCCACAGATTCATGACTCCACATCTCCTATTTTGCAAAAAGCATTTGCTTTTCTGGTTGTAGTTTTCCAGATATATTTTCTTACATCTCAGACTGATTTTTTAGGTGTTCAGAATGGTTTGATAGATATCCAGCTAAATTCGAGGTACAAGAAGAAACGAAGTCCTCTACTCTACCTCCATCTTGCCTGCAGCTGGCTAATTGAGTTAAAAAACAAACAAACAAACAAACAAAACTTATATATCATTTTCATAGTTTGTTTGTTTTCCTAACCATACATAGCTTTTTCAAGGAACACACCAAGGACATACACTGAAGTTATAGAACAATGTCATGTGTTAATTACCCACAAGGTGGCAGACGGATAATGCCAATTTGGTCCCCTAGTAATACCTACTGTAGGGATAGATAGAATCTAAAAAAAATCCACTGGGTATTTTATCAGATATATGGATTTATTCTCCCTGCAAAGACATATCATCAAGCCAAGGAAGGGATAAAGGGGAGAAGTATAAATGTCCCAGATACAATTACAAATGATTGAAATTGGTAATTAAAATATAAGTTATTTAATGAATCAAGAGACACTGCTGGTGAGAACGTGCCTTGAGAACACAAGAAAAAATGCTCAGTGACCATAAGATGAAAGCAGAACTACCTTTGTCTCAAGAAGAAAGTCACAGACTCAGATAATCTCTGTTGTAAGAACACATTCCACTTTCTTGATTTTTTAACAGGAAATCGTTTTTTAAGACAGGAAAATTCAGTACAGAGAGATTAGATTACATGTTGAAGGATACACAACACAGAAATTTTAAAACAAAAATTCAAATACCAGTCAGTTTAAGTAAAACCTATGATCTTAACATCATTCATTTGCAACTGAATTCATTCATTTGCATATGGGTTGGAAGTAACTTAAACATTTAAATGAATAGAAAAAAATTAAAATCTGTTCAAAAGCTGAACAATCAATGATTTGGAATATGCAAATGTAGAAGACTGAACATTTTAGTAAAATCTATTGGAACAGAAAGATGTTCACTGAGTACATTAGATCATCTAACTCCTCACCAGAGAAGGCATCACAAAGACCAGTTTAAAGACTGGATACCCTGGGGGGTGTCTTTAACTCATAAACTTAAATAGTGTATTGAAGAGACAGTATGTTACCTTATGATTCCAAACTGTATCATGTTATATAATGAGTTTGACAGGGGCAAGAATGTCGGTTAAAAAACCTTTAATTTGACAAACAGATCAATTCACTAAAACAGCAAGATTGCTAGTAAAGAAACCTTTAATTTCTCAAACAGATCAATCCACTAAAATAAACAAGTATAAACACTTGATATATGCTGCAAGTTCTAGGCATTGGAAAAACAAGTGATTATAATGTATTTTATTCATATAAAAAATGCTAAGTCTGTAGAAGTGGTGATAGCATTTGTTTTTTCCAGTGATTCTTGTCATTGCTGTTCCCATAATTAATTTTAAGTAATACATTGTGTGTTTACTATTTGCTATGCAACACTCATTGGTCTATTTCACAAACATGCTTATACTAAATTAATCAATCAACTCCAAGACTACCCTGCATTCCTAATATCGCTAATGTATTCATTTACTCAACTGATCTTTAAAACATTTTTCTTTTTTTCTTAAATTTTTAACAATCATTTCTGTCCTTCATAAGTAGAAGTTCTCCTTGATTCTACTTGCACTGTGAAATAGAGGAAATCTGAGGATAACTCACTTTTATCATCTATGCTCTGTGTTACCTCCTGCTATTGCAAATGAACTAGCCATGCTAAATAAAAACAAAAAACAAAACAAGCAAACAAACAAACAAGAACAGCTTCTTTACCTAAATTGATTTCTATGCTTTCTGTCTTTCTCAAAGGTCATTTTCTGGAAGAAGTTTCCTTCATTTTGTTTACATTATCAATTTATGCTTTGTGATAGATTATTCCCTTTAACATAACTGCAATATCCTACAATAATAAAAACACATTGATATCATATCCCTTTCTAACCACTACTCCAATTATTTGCTCTCATTTAAAAAAAATGTATTTAAACTCTACTCATCTTGTCCACTTTCTCCCCTTCTATTTTACTCTGAATCCTCTTGGAGCACAACTTCATTGGAATTGCTTTTATTAAGGTCATAATTGATCTTTGTGTTGAGAAATACAGTGGCTAATGAAGAATCTCATTTTCATCCAACAAGAAACAGCATCTAGTGCAGTTGATTACACTCTAGTTTTGAAGTTTTCTCACTTCTATCTGAAATATTACTTCGTATTCCATCAATCATGGTCTCCTGTCTCACTTTCTCACCAAGTGAACAGCTGCCTTAGTCTTAAATCTTTACTCCTAACTAAGTTTAAACTAATCCTATGCCTTTAAAATATTCTTTCTACTCTGACTCCAAATTTAACCCACTGAGCCACCCAGGCGCCCCTAAAGACTACCAAATTTGAACCTTCAGCCCTTAACTCCAATATGAGCCCCAGTTGGCTTCATATATCAAAGAGATATTTCAAAATTCTCTCAACAACTAAGTCCTTGATTTCTTCTACCCAATCTTGCCACTCTACAAGTTTTCAAAAATCTCATGAAGCAGATATCCTAGATTCCTTTCCCTTGAGGTTAATTGACTTATTTTTCATTTCACTTGCTTTTCTAATAGTCATCCTTTCCATGAGCTAAATCCTCTTTGTAACTACCTGACTAATCCTTCCTTCCTCTCATGTGTAGATTTCTAAATTTTTTTCCTGCATACAATCTAGTTCCCTTTTCTATATACCACACACATAGACGTAGCATGGAAGTATGCATATATCACACACATAGACATAGTGTGGAAGTACGCATAAAATAGTGCACATAAAAATATACATCTTATCAAGTTATGTCTATACAGAAAATTCTTCATAAGTTTTCCTTCTCAGTGCAAAATAACTGAATTGAATCCATGTCCTGTTGATGAATAACACAGAATTGGACAATGTATATTTTCTCCCTTAGACATAACCTTCCCTAGGATTCTGCTATGAAAATATCATGGAAAAAGGTACAGTAGTTCTCTTTGATGTTAAATATCAGAGACTATCCCTTTTGAGTAGGTATGTAAGGCATGAATATGCAACATTCAGCCAGTTTAACTTACTCAGTATTTACTGTGGCCTAGTAATGACAGTCACTATTTTTTTTATTGTCTCTATTTCTAAAAATTTTTTAAATTTATTTTCAGCGTAACAGTATTCATTGTTTTTGCAACACACCCAGTGCTCCATGCAAACTGTGCCTTCTCCAATACCCACCACCTGGTTCCCCCAACCTCCCACCCGCCCCCCTTAAAAACCCTCAGATTGTTTTTCAGAGTCCATAGTCTCTCATTGTTCACCTCCCCTTCCAATTTCCGTCAATTCCCTTCTCCTCTCCATCTCCTCTTGTCCTACATGCTATTTGTTATGCTCCACAAATCAGTGAAACCATAAGATAATTGACTCTCTCTGCTTGACTTATTTCACTCAGCATAATCTCTTCCAGTCCCATCCATGTTGCTACAAAAGTTGGGTATTCATCCTTTCTGATGGAGGCATAATACTCCATAGTGTATATGGACCACATCTTCCTTATCCATTCGTCCATTGAAGGGCATCTTAGTTCTTTCCACAGTTTGGCGACCATGGCCATTGCTGCTATAAACATTGGGGTTGAGATGGCCCTTCTTTTCACTACATCTGTATCTTTGGGGTAAATAGCCAGTAGTGCAATGGCAGGGTCATAGGGAAGCTCTATTTTTAATTTCCTGAGGAATCTCCACACTGTTCTCCAAAGTGGCTGCACCAACTTGCATTCCCACCAACAGTGTCAGAGGGTTCCCCTTTCTCCACATCCCCTACAACACAGGTTGTTTCCTGTCTTGCTAATTTTGGCCATTCTAACTGGTGTAAAGTGGTATCTCAATGTGGTTTTAATTTGAATCTCCCTGATCGCTAGTGATGAAGAATATTTTTTCATGTGTCTGATAGATATTTGTATGTCTTCATTGGAGAAGTGCCTGTTCATATCTTCTGCCCATTTATTTTACATGATTGTCTGTTGTGTGCGTGTAGTTTGAGGAGTTCTTTATAGATCCTGGATATCAACCTTTTGTCTGTACTGTCATTTGCAAATATCTTCTTCCATTCCGTGGGTTGCCTCTTTGTTTTGTTCACTGTTTCCTTTGCTGTGCAGAAGCTTTCGATTTTGATGAAGTCCCAATAGTTCATTTTCACTTTTGTTTCCTTTGCCTTTGGAGACATATCTTGAAAGAAGTTGCTGTGGCTAATATCGAAGAGGTTACTGCCTATATTCTCCTCTAGGATTCTGATGGATTCCTGTGTCACGTTGAGGTCTTTTATCCATTTTGAGTTTATCTTTGTGTACGGTGTAAGAGAAGGTTTGAGTTTGATTCTTCTACATATAGCTGTCCAGTTTTCACAGCACCATTTATTGAAGAGACTGTCTTTTTTTCCACTGGATATTTTTTCCTGTTTTGTCGAAGATTATTTGACCATAGAGTTGAGGGTCCATATCTGGGCTCTCTACTCTGTTCCACTGGTCTATGTGTCTGTTTTTATGCCAGGACCATGCTGTCTTGGTGATCACAGCTTTGTAGTAAAGCTTGAAACCAGGTAACGTGATGCTCCCAGGTTTATTTTTGTTTTTCAACATTTCCTTAGCGATTCAGGGTCTCTTCTGATTCCATACAAATTTTAGGATTCTTTGCTCCAGCTCTTTGAAAAATACTGGTGGGATTTTTATTGGAATGGCATTAAAAGTATAGATTGCTCTAGGCAGTATAGACATCCTAACAATGTTTATTCTTCCGATCCAAGAGCATGGAATGGTCTTCCATCTTTTTGGGTCTTCTTCAATTTCTTTCATGAGTGTTCTGTAGTTCCTTGAGTACAGATCCTTTACTTCTTTGGTTAGGTTTATTCCCAGGTATCTTATGGTTCTTGGTGCTATAGTAAATGGAATCGATTCTCTAATTTCCCTTTCTTGATTTTCATTGTTAGTGTATAAGAAAGCCACTGATTTATGTACATTGACTTTGTATCCTGCCACGTTACTGAATTGCTGTATGAGTCCTAGTAGTTTGGGGGTGGAGTTTTTTGGGTTTTCCATATAAAGAATCATGTCATCTGCGAAGAGAGAAAGTTTGACTTCTTCATTGCCAATTTGGATAGCTTTTATTTCTCTTTGTTGTCTGATTGCTGTCGCTAGGACTTCTAATACTATGTTGAAGAAGAGTGGTGAGAGTGGGCATCCTTGCCGTGTTCCTGATCTCAACGGGAAGGCTGCTAGCTTTTTCCCATTGAGGATGATATTTGTTTGGGTCTTTCACAGATAGATTTTTTGAAGTTCAGGAATGTTCCCTCTATTCCTATAATTTGAAGCGTTTTAATCAGGAATGCATGCTGGATTTTGTAAAATGCTTTTTCTGCATCAATTGAGAGGACCATATGGTTCTTCTCTTTTCTCTTATTAATTTGTTCTATCACATTGATTGATTTGCGAATGTTGAAACATTCTTGTAGCCCAGGAATGAATCCCACCTGGGCATGGTGGATAATCTTTTTAATGTGCTGTTGGATCCTGTTTGCTAGGATCTTGTTGAGAATCTCAGCATCCATAATATGTGGTCTGATATTGGTGATATTCGTCTGAAATTCTCCTTTTTGGTAGGGCCTTTGCGTGGTTTGGGGATCAGAGTAATGCTGGCTTCATAGAAAGAGTCTGGAAATTTTCCTTCTGCTTCAATTTTTTGAAACAGCTTCAGGAGAATAGGTGTTATTTCTTCTTTGAAAGTTTGGTAGAATTCCCCAGGGAATCCATCGGGTGCTGGGCTCTTGTTCTTTGGGAGGTTTTTGATCACTGCTTCCCTCTCGTGACTAGATATCAGCCTACTCAGGTTGTCAATTTCTTGCTGGTTCAATGTTGGGAGTTTATAGTTTTCCAGGAATGCATCCATTTCATCTAAGTTGCTTAACTTATTGGCATATAACTATTGATAATAACTCTGATGATTGTGTCTACTTCCTTGGTGTTAGTTGTGATCTCTCCCTTTTCATTCATAATTTTATGAATTTGGGCTTTCTCTCTTTTCTTTTGGATTAGTGTGGCCAATGGTTTATCAATCTTGTTGATTCTTTCAAAAAACCAGCTTCTAGTTTCATTGATATGTTCTACTGTATCTCTGGTTTCTACCTCATTGATCTCAGCTCTAATCTCGATGATTTCCCTTCTTATGTGTGGAGTTGGTGTGACTTGTTGTCGATTCTCCAGTTGGTTAAGGTGTAGAGACAGTTGGTGTATTCTAGATCTTTCAATTTTTTTGAGGGAGGCTTGGATGGCTATGTATTTCCCCCCTAGGACTGCCCTTGCTCTATCCCATAGGTTTTGGACCAAAGTGTCTTCATTCTCATTTGTTTCCATGAATTGTTCCAGCTCTTATTAGATCCCTGGTTGATCCAAGCATTCTTAAGCAAGGTGGTTTTTAGCTTCCAGTTGTTTGAGTTTCTTCGGAACTTTTCCTTGTGATTGAGCTCCAGTTTCAAAGCATTGTGATCTGAGAATAAGCAGGGAATGATCTCAGTCTTTTGGTATCGGTTGAGTCCTGATTTGTGACCCAGTATGTAGTCTATTCTTGTGAAGGTTCCATGTGCACTTGAGAAGAATGAGTAGTCTGTTGTTTTAGGGTGGAATGTTCTGTATATATCTGTGAGGTCCATCTGATCCAATGTGTCATTCATGCTCTTGTTTCTTTATTGATTTTCTGCTTCAATGATCTATTTCTGAGAGAGGCATGTTAAGATCTCCTACTATTAATGTATTCATATCAATATGACTCTTTATCTTGATCAACATTTTTCTTCTGTAATTGGCTGCTCCCATATTGGGGGCATAGATATTTATAATTGATAGATCATCTTGGTGGATAGTCCCTTTAAGAATGATGTAGTGTCCTTCTGTATCTCTGACTACAGTCTTTAGTTTAAAATATAATTTGTCTGATATGAGAATCACTACCCCAGCCTTCTTTTGAGGTCCATTGGCATCAAAGATGCTTCTCATTCCCTTCACTTTCAGTCTGGGTGTATATCTTGGTTCAAAATGGGTCTCTTATAGACAACATATGGATGGGTCCTGTCGTTGTATCCAATCTGCAACCCTGTGCTGTTTTATTGGCACATTTAGGCCATTTACATTGAGAGTGATTATTGATAGATTTGTTTTTATTGACATTTTGTTACCTTTGAAGTCTTTCTTTCTGTAGATTGTCTCTATATTTCTGTTCAATGCTATTCTTGGGATTTTTCCTCTTTTATAGAACCCCCCCTTAATATTTTCTGCAGTGTTGGCTTGGTGGTTGCATAGTCTTTTAAGCCTTGCCGGTCTTGGAAACTCTTTATCTCTCCATCCATTTTGAATGTCAGTCTTGCTGGATAAAGTATTCTTGGCTGCATGTTCTTCTCATTTAGTGCCCTGAATATATCTTGCCAGCCCTTTCTGGCTTGCCAGGTTTCTGTGGACAGGTCTGACGTTATTATGATGGGCTTTCCTCTGTAAGTAAGGAGCCTCTTTGTCCTAGCGGCTTTCAAGAGATTATATCTACAATTATGATTCCTCAATTTGACTATCGGGTGCCTTGATGTTTTTCTGGAATCTATAATTTTGGGGGGAGACTGTTGGGCCTCTAGTACATGAATGCTGGTTCCATTCGCGAGATTGGGAAAATTTTCCTGAAGAACTTGTTCCACTATATCTTCTAGAATTCTTTCTTTCTCCTCCCCTTCAGGGATTCCAATAATTCTGACGTTGGAACGTTTCATGGCATCATTTATTTTCCTGATTCTGTTTTTGTGGCTTCTAAGCTGTTTGTTCCAGGCTTCCTCCTGATCCTTTCTCTCTATCTGTTTGTCCTCCAGATCACTAATTCTATCTTCTGTCTCTGTTACCCTAGCTTTGAGAGAATTTAGATTAGATTGGAACTCGTTGAGAGCATTGTGAACCTCATCCCTGATAGCGTTCAGCTCTGCCCTAACATTGTGAACATCATGTCTGGTCTCTTTCATTTCCACCCTAATCAATTCCGTTTGGTCATCCATGTTTTTCTCCTACATAGCTATTGCCTGGATAATTGTTAGTCTGAATTCTCTTTCTGACATATTGTCTATTTTGATAGCTCTTAGCTCTGTTGCAGAAGGCCCATCCTCTGTATTTTTTTTTCTGTTGGGCATTCCTCCTCCTAGTCATTTTGGTGAGAGATGGCTGAACGATCTAGCTGGATGTATTGACAGTGGTGCAGTCAAGGTGCACCCTGAAATGGTTCTGAGCAATCAGGATTCCCCACCCAAATGAGAGAAAAAAGAAAAGAAAAAGAAAAAGAGAGAGAGAGAGACAGGAAAGAAAGGAAGATAAAAGAGAAGGTTCAGCCGAAATGGGCCCCAAGGTAAGATTTATGAAGTATACAAACAAAAACAGACAAACAAAAAGACTGATAAAAGTATATGACAAGAGAAAAGTAAAGTTATATACATATGTATATATATATATACATATATATATATATATCAGCAGATAAAGGAAGAACCTCGTAAAAAAAAACCCCAAGTGTAAGATTTATGCATGATCAGGATAAACACAAAAACACAGAAACACTGGTGGAAGAAAAAGATGGGAGAGTGGTTATAAATTCTCATTGTGGGCGAGGAAGCTTGTTTTGATTCTTCCTGGATGTATCTTGATATCTTTGTTAAAAGACTCAACTTTCCTAAGATAAAGGGGGATTAAAAATTGGTTTACCTTTAGGGGTAGCATTTATTGGGGAAAGGGGATTACCTTGAAGTTTCACTCTATATGAATATTAGAAAATAAAAATAAAAAGGGAATCAACTAGACTAAACTAAACTAAAATTTCAAAAAAAAAAAAGAAATTTAAAAAATAGAAATGCAAAAGAAAAACATAGGTGTATGAATCAAAAAGTTCAGGTTAGAAGGTTATTATGGAATTTGATGTAATGGGCATCTCACTGTGATTGTAAATAGGTTAAAAATTATCTATATAAAAAAAATGAGCCAAAATAGTGGGAACAAATTAAAAATAAAAGTTGTCCTATGAAGTAGTGGTGGTTGTTCTCTTGTTGTCTTTTTTTTTTTTTTTCTTTCCTGGTTGGTTTTCTGGGGGAGGGGCCTGCCATGCGTGTTTTCAGTCAATGATGTTCTCTGAGTTAAGTTGTCCCACCCCCCTCAGTGGGTTGGCCTCTGAGAAAACTGTTTTTTTCAGGGTTTTGTTCTCTGGATATTTTATGTTTGTTCACTTTTTTTTTTTCTCTCTCACCTTGTCCGCTTTTGATGGTCCCTGGGGACACAGGATTTTTTGCTTGTACCCAAAACCATGGCAGTGGCGGCTGTTTGGGCAGCTCCAAACCGCCAGAGAGGTTCCAAGCAGTGATCGCACATTTAGAATTTCCCGATGGCCCGGGCTGGGAGGAAAGTCACTATTTTTGCACAGGTGTATGAAGATGATCATAGAGGTTAAAATCCTCTGATGGAAATCCAATAAAGACCAGATTAAGTTTGTCTGATTTCTATCCTTTGTCATTTGTGAATTGGTATTGCTTTACTTTATTATAACAAAAATACACAGTTATTGGCAACAAAATTCCTTAGCTTTGTAAGGCATTTCTGGGTTAAGGGTGAAAGGAACCTTCACAGGTTTGCTGTGAACTCTAAGATATGCCTTTTCCCCCCTTTATTAGTCTGTCAGACTAGAACCAGAATCAGATGAATTCTTTAACTGACGTAGTAATATCTCATTTTTGGTAGCTAGCAAAAATGTATCTGCATAACTAATGAAAAATCTTTGATTCCCTCCCCTAGTAGCAAGAAACCAGCCATGGAAAATCCTCTTGATTGTCAATTATAAGTAATCTTTGACAGCTGACCAAATAGTCATCTTTGAAACTGGGCAATAGAAAATGTTCTTAGGAAGACCTATTGTCAGTTTATTGAATTCTTAAGCATCACTTGTGGATATTTTTTGAGTAGATGAGATTTGTAAGAATATCTTTTAAATGTCCCCATGACATCCTTGTTTCTGAGACTGTAGATAAGAAGATTGAGCATGGGTGTGACAATGGTATAGAAGGCTGACACTACCTTGTCCTGCTCAGGAGTGTGAAAAGACTGGGGCAGAACATAAGTGTAGAAGGCAGCCCCATAGAAAATGCTGATTACAGTTAAATGGGATGAGCAAGTGGTAAAGGCTTTCTTCTGGCCTTCAGCAGAGTGCATTCGGTGGACAGTTAACAAGATGACAGAGTAGGAAGTTGAAATGATAGAGATGGGGATGAGCAACATAAGTACACAGCAGATGTACATTAGAGTTTCATACAAGGATGTGTCAGCACAGGCTGAGAACTGCAGGGATCTCACAGAAAAAATGGTTGATACTGTGGGAGCTATAGTAGGGGACATTCATGGTGATGGGGGTGAGCAGAAAGCCATCCAGGGACCCACCAAACCAGGCATCAACAGCCAGCAGGAGACACACCCTGTGATTCATCAGGACTGGATACCTAATAGGGTTACAGACAGCCACATAGCAGTCATAGGCCATGAGGCCCAAGAGGAAGAACTCTGAGCCAATCATGGTCAAGTAGTAGAAGATCTGGATGCCACCACCTACAAAGTAAATGGTCTTCTCTTTAGAAACCACATCGACCAGAAGTTTTAGGACAGTGGTACAAATGAAAAGGGTGTCCATGATGGACAGCTGACTGAGCAGGAAATACATAGGAGTATGGAGATGGGAGTCGACCTGAATCAAGACTATCATGACCAAATTTGCAGTTACAGCCACCACAAAAATAGCAAAAATAACAGGAAAGACGATCCCTATAGCTTTATTGTCCACCGGAAGCCCCAGGAGGATAATGTCAGAGGGTAAAGTTATATTCTTCATTGATATTGCTGATGGCAGCTCCAGCAAATCAGGAAGCCACAAAGACCAGGAAGGAAAAGGAGAGAGGACACTTTCAGTATGGATGAAGCTTACAATGTAGATGACACCTCAGAGAGTGCTGGATGGGCTGAAATTTTCTAAGTCAAAATGCTAGAGAAAAATGAACAGACCAAGAGACAGATGTTAAGATAGAAACTGCTGATCTCTTTCTCCTCATTGGAGAACAACAATTTATATTATGTTTATGTTCATGCTGCAAGACATAGATTATGCTAGCTGCATAAAAATGTTGGTATTTGCTATACCTGGATTAGGGTTTAACTATATATTTCCTAGTCAAGCTCTGCATTTCTGGCATCCAGAATGTTGTCCAGTCTATAGTAGCTCTAAGTCAATACTGGTTGGGTAAGCCTCATTGATTCACTGATTATTTGGATGGCAAAGGCAAGCAAAATGAGTAACTTAGGAAGTACAGGATGTAAAGAAAAAAAACAACAACTTCTATGTGTCTTCTTTATTCTCATTATTTCAGCTCTGACACCATTGTTCATCAAATTTTTGAGGGTTTATTTTCCATAATAAGCAATGTCCAACTCTTCAGACAACCAGCTGGGTGTCCTTCAATTTAATGTAATACTCATGCCATCTATATAGAGATAGCTTAATATCTTACTGGTTAAGGGCTTAGTCCCACAAAACTGTTCCCCAAATCAGATATCAATTGCCAAATAGAACTTATCACTTGGGCTTCTGAACTACTGGCTCTAAATAGAATAACCCCACCCCTGGGTTCAATTAATTTTCTAGAGTGGAAAATATTTTAATTACTGGGTTGACTAGCATTTAACTAAGGAAAAACCAGGTAGTGGAGATAAATAAGTTAAGGTGTGCTGGAAAAGACCAAGAGCTCTTTGTCCTCTCTGGATGTACCATCCTCTTGGTCACTGCCTATGTTCAGAAGCTCTCTGAACCTCATTCTTTTTTATTTTTAGGGATGCTTGATTATTTGGGTATGACTGATCAAATCATTGGCCCTCAGTGATTAATGAAACCTCTAGATCCTCTCCTTGGAAATCTGAGAGGTGGATATTTAAAAAATTGTAAACCTTTAATTATGGTTATTTTCCTGGCAACCAGCCCTAATTCTTAGGAGATTTCCATAAGTCACCTCATTAGCATAAACTCAAGATGTGGTAGAAGGGCCTTTTTATGAATAACAAAAGACATCCACATAGCTATTTCTATTTAGGAAATTCAGAGGGTTTTAGGAGTTCTATGCCAGGAATATGAAGAAAGACTAAATTAATTATGCATCATGACATCACAAAGGGTTAGGACATTTGTTGGCACTTTGTAAATGAAATATTCCCAGCCATATTTCATCTAGGTTATTTTGGTAGCTTTCCTGCTATCTCCCTGATCGCTCTTTCTTTTCTATTTTTAGTCTAACCTCAGCAGAACAAAAGTGATCTTTAAAGTTTTACATCGGGGGGGGGGGGCACCTGGGTGTCTCAGTTGGTTAAGTGTCTCCTTTGGGCTTAGGTCATGCTCTCAGGGTCCTGAGATGGAGCCCTGCTTTGGGCTCCCTGTACAGTGGGGAACCTCCTTCTCCCTTTCCTTCTGCTGCTTCCCTGCTTGTGTGCTCTCTTTCTCTCTCTCTCAAATAAATAAAGTCTTTAAAAATTCTACATCAGAGCAGGTCAACTCCTGCTCACAGCTCTACTATGAAACTTCATATTTAATTTCAAGGCCCACCATACTGTAACACTTTAATCCTTTGAAATCACTTTTTGCTTCCTCCAGAGGATTTGCCCTGGTGCTGTAAATCCCATATGTCATCCCTGCTAATCCTTTGTCCCTACTTTGGGTGTGCCTCCAGTTCAGAGCTTTTGTCTCTGCTGAGACCCAGGCCTGGGTCTCCTGCCTATATCTGTGACTGACACCTCATTTTATTCATTCAGGGTTTTGTTTTAAGCCCACTTTCTCAGAGGGGCCTATTCTTAAGTCTTGGTGACTATTGTTTTTATATTCCTTCACACCACTTAACATATATATTTATTTCATTTTGTGTTTGTTTCCTGTCACTGACAGTCTCAATATGAGCAAGGCAGTTTGCCTGTTTTTTTTTTTTTTTTTTTTTTTTTACTATGTGCTTTCAGAATATAAAAGAATGCCTGGAACATTGTAAATATTACTTGAATATTTAAATATTGTTAAACATATATAGTTCATTAAATATATATATATATATACATATACATGTGTGTGTATATGTATATATATATGTGTATATGTATATGTATGTTTATATATAGTCACTATATTGTGGATGTTAATAACATAGTTTGAATTCACCCTGGATAACACAGGCAAAAGGACAGAAATATCATTGTGAATATTTTTTCTTATCAGTAGTTTACATCTGCCTCCTATTTTCATCAAAAATGTGTCTTCAAATATGTTTCTATAAATTTTGTATTTTACTGAACTTAATAAAGCTATGATATATTTAAATTGGTGATAAATAAAGCCAATTATATTATACAGAATAATGTCCTCACCCCACTCAAGGATCCTTATATCCTAATGCCAAGACTATGAAATATTCCCTTATTTGGCAAAATGGATTTTGAAGATGTGATTAGGAGATTATTCTGGAGGTGTTTGGCTGGCTCAGAAGGTTAAGCATCCAACTATTGATATCAGCTCAGGTCTTGATCTCAGTCTTGTGATTTCAAGCCCTGTGTTGGGCTCCACATGGGAGTGGAGCCTACTTAAAAAGAGAGAGGGTGAATGAGAGAGAGAGAGAGAGAGAGAGAGAGAGAGAAATTATTCTGGAATGTCCTATTGTGCTCAGTGTAAATACAAGGGTCCTCATAAGAGAGGGGAAGAAAGGAGGGAGGCAGAAATCAGAGGAGATGTGGTATTAGGAACAGAGGTCCACATTATTCAAACACTGGCATTGAAGATGAAGAGGACCATGATGCAGGGAATTAATTAAGTGGTTTCTAGAATCTGAAAAATAATAATAATAATAATAATAATAAAAACTTTCTCCTCCAAGGCCTTCAGAAATGAGTACAGTCCTCCTTAATCTTGGTCTATTATGACCATTTTTTGACTTGCGCCCTCCACAATAGAAAGATAATAAGCTTGTGTCATTTAAAGTTAGTGGTAATTTGATACAACAGTCACACAAACAAATAAATTTGTCAGCTTTTAATGAGTATAATTGAGGCATATTGATTGCTAATAACAAATTAGCTACCATGCAGTGCTTACCCTGTGTCAGTAATCTCTCCATACTTTTCACAGCACCTCTGTGGGTTCAGTTACTATAATTACCACTATTTTTCAGTTGGAGAAACTAAGGCATGGAGAGGGCAAAAGGCAGATCTGGGCCTGGTTCAAGAAGCAAGACTTTGTTTTTCATACTTTCCATAGTTATGTTCAACTCACCCTAAATGTATAATATCCTTTTAATCATTTGCTGAATTTACAGTTGTCTAAGACAAGTCATATTAAAATAGGCTGCAAAACCATAATCACATTTAAAAATTTTTGGATTTATGGTCAAAGTTTTCAACAAAGTCATAAAGTAACAAATGAAGTTCATTATTTCCAAAAATATAAAGTGTTCTCTAACTCCTGGGCAATCTCTAAGAATCACATATGTTCTTATAGATGTCTGATTTCCTATTTTGACATCCAAGGGGTGGGTGGGATAGGTGGGGAGAAGAGAAAAAGAAAAAAAAGCCCTCACTTAATGTAACCTGGGAATGATCCTCCAAACACCAGACTCACAATTCTCACTGCTGAATAATCACTGCTTAGGGCAACTACTTATCTTCAAGAAGACATAAGAATGCCCATTCAATAGTCTTATTCCCAGTCTTTCACCAGTATAACCATCATTACATATGCAACTCTGTAAAGCTGACACCATATTTCCTTTAGAAGATCCACCTTTGAAAAAAATCCTCCATAATGTGTGTCAGGGGGAAGTGGCAGAATTAACTCATGAATAAATGACCAATGAGGACAAGATTATTAAAATTGAATGAAAAATAAACAACAAAGACATTTCAGAAACTACCTGAAAGTGTGAACCCAAATTAACTCATTGTGGCATAAACTGAAATGTTACTAGAAAAATCTTATCAATGATTTATAAATCTAAAACCATAAGTTAAATTATCAAGTTTTTAAGACATAATTTCCCTCTTCTACTGTATATATTTTTTTTAGTTACAGATGTTCCCAAATCCAAAAGAATGATAATTCTTTAACACTTAGAGGTGACTGGCTAGCTCGGGCTGTGGAGCATGTGACTCTTGATCTCGGGGTCATGAGTTCAGCCCCACATTGGATGTAGAACCTACTTAAAAAAATGTAAAAAATTAAAAAATATATAAACCACATTTTAAAAAGACTTAAAGTAAAATGCTAGCTCTGTGATCAGACCTAGCTGTTATGGTTGTGTCTAACATAATACATCATTTTCTTAAACCAAAACCTCTCTACAGGTGGAGGTACTTTGAGAACTTCCCCACAGTTGATTAAAGTCATTGGTTCCATTAAAAACAGGCATTTTCTATATGATTATTCCTTAATTGAGTATGATCAGAGTTAGTTACTAAGTTCAGTAACATTGAAAAACCAAGATGTTTTTTGGCCTTTGTTTCAACCAGGTGGAAGTCTCTGGATTTTGTTGGTGAATCCATAAAAACAACCCACACCACTTTCTTCCCTGAGTATGTATGAATCACTGAGCTCTTGGTGTTACAGTCCTCTATACACATATAACTATATATAGTTTAATAATTATATACTTATAAACACATATATATGCATATATTGAATTATGAAATAAATCTAAGTTTTCACTGATGGTGAAGATTCAAGTGACATCAATTTCTTCTGGATCTTATTTTCTGTATTCCTACAAGTATAGATTATATGTGGAAAAAGAATTTACTTTAAGTCAAAGGATAAGCTTC